GCCGCTCCCTGCCTGCTCTCCAGAGACATCCCCGGGCTGGTGGCGTGGGCAGCGCAGGCAGCGCTCCAGGATCTCCGAGCAGCAGCAGAGTAGCCCGGGAGCCTGGCACAAGACTCCCTGGGGACTTTGGGCCCCCCTGGATTAGATGCACAAAGGCAACCCGAAAGGACCAGGGGAAGGAGCTTCTCTTCATCTGGACTTCGCACTATTTCTCCATCCCCACCCAAAATCTCTCTTGCAGTTCATTTTCACTCGCGGTCCCTGAGGCATCGGGGCGGCGCAGTGGGCACAGGCATCCCAGTGAACAGAGTTTGTCTCCAGACTGTGTAGCTCTTGAATTCAGTTAATGGTTTTATTTCAAGCAAATCACGAGAGAAGTGTATTCTGGGTTAATGAAGCCAGGCTGCTGCCGTCCTCAGAGGGTCATTAGGGGAATGACCACCGCGACCTCGCTGGGCCCCGGTGCCATCGCTGCAGGGTGGCGCGAAGCTTGCTGGTAACAAAACAGGGCTGGAGAGCCCATCACCCGGGGGTCCCTTCGGGCCTTGCCTTCACAGAGTCGCTTTTAGGAACGAAACACAAGTGCAATATCACGCAGCGCTGTAGCAACTACAGGAGACGTTCACAGCCCCAACCCACGGCAGGTTTAAGTATTTGCTAAATCAATAGAGGTTAAAATAAACTATTTTCATTTTTAATAAGGTATTAAACTGAATGTTTTAAAAAAAAAAAACCAAACAAAAAAAGATGTTGTCCCTGGTTATGTTTGTGTGTTCTCTGTGCCCCCCCCATCCGCGGTGCACAGGGGCTTATGGCTAACCCGGGTCCCCACGTGGGCTGGGGGCCGGGGCCGGTGCGTGCCAGCCTCCGGCTGTGCCCCCGCCAGCCCTGTGGGGACGCTGCGAAGCCCAAGGGCTGGTCCCAGCACCGGGGGTCTGCAGCCAGGATGAGCCCAGGAGCTGCTTTCCAGGGGTTCGGACCCTGCGGCAGCCCTGGTGGGTCTCGCTGAGGGCCGGGCTTAGCTGGGAAGATGATCTGGGGCCGGCCGGGCTCTCTGTGCCGACACCAGCGGGGATGCGGAGCAGGTGCTTTGGCAGCAGTTTGCGCCCACTCCTATTAATGGTGTGAGCAGCCCAGGAGGTGTAACAGGATCGCTCCCCTCTCTCAGCCCTCCCTCCGCTCGCCCCCCGGCTCTGGCAGTGTCCCGGGAGCGGGGTCAGCGTGGGGCGATGCAGACGTGACCTGGCAGGGAGCCCCAAGCCTCTGCCAGCGGCTCTCCATGGCCCCTGGCTCACGCAGGGACGGGTCCCCAGATGAAGGCTGGTCCCTGCGAGGGGATTTTGCCTCTTGTTCTGCTTTCGCGGGTGGAGGCGTGTGGCCGACAGGGACTTAGTGACGGGCTGCGGGCTGGGAAACAGCCGGAGAATGCTGCAAGTTTGGGGG